TAACATAACATATTTAACATACATACATACAAATGTAACAGGACATTCATATGTAAACAGAAAGTTACCCATGAGGAATGTAATAGAGTTTGTTGAAAAATATCGACAATAGAAATAGTCGACAATGAATTTCATTGTCGATGTTGTTGCCAGACGTGTTTTTTCCGACCGAGTGAGGCATCTCACTTCATTGCAATCTCTGCCGAGAGTCGCACGTGTGCAATAGCTTCTCTGCTGAGCGCCAACTAACAGAAATGGCGGTGTCCGACACAGCAGCTATGCGTACCAAAACATCTAAAGTTTGGGAGCATTCTAGCCTGGATTTTGAGAATAAAAAGATGCCCTGCATTATTTGCAAAGCAGTCCTCGCGTATCACTGCAGCACCTCGGTGATGCTGGAACACTTAAAGAGGAAGCACGTCGGACAGTTGAATGAAACAGAGTCTGACTCACCTCAGTAAGATTTAAATAACACATAAGCCAATACGTTTTGTTTTGGATGTACATTTTTTTAAACGTATTTTCGCTTTAAAAAAAGAGAGATTTAATGTTATGCCTGACTGTGCCTGACAAAAGTATTTTAGTTTTATTTATGCATTTATGTCTATACTGACTGAGCACTGTGCCTAATTGGTGTTAGACGGGGCATTTTTATTTACTTTTAAAATGAATTGGCCTATCAGCAGGAACATTCAATAAAATATGCATTTTCCATTTAAGTACCCATCTTTCTTGTGTTTATTATAATTTTTCACAAAACTAAAGATACAGTGGGGCAAAAAAGTATTTAGTCAGCCACCGATTGTGCAAGTTCTCCCACTTAAAATGATGACAGAGGTTAGTAATTTTCATCATAGGTACACTTCAACTGTGAGAGACAGAATGTGAAAAAAAATCCATGAATTCACATGGCAGGATTTTTAAAGAATTTATTTGTAAATCAGGGTGGAAAATAAGTATTTGGTCAGTAACAAAAATTCAACTCAGTACTTTGTAACATAACCTTTGTTGGCAATAACAGAGGTCAAACGATTACTATAGGTCTTTACCAGGTTTGCACACACAGTAGCTGGTATTTTGACCCATTCCTTCATGCAGATCTTCTCGAGAGCAGTGATGTTTTGGGGCTGTCGTCGAGCAACACGGACTTTCAACTCCCTCCACAGATTTTCTAAGGGGTTGAGGTCTGGAGACTGGCTAGGCCACTCCAGGACTTTCAAATGCTTCTTACGGAGCCACTCCTTTGTTGCCCGGGCGATGTGTTTGGGATCATTGTCGTGTTGGAAGACCCAGCCACATTTCATCTTCAAAGCTCTCACTGATGGAAGGAGGTTTTGGCTCAAAATCTCACGATCCATGGCCCCATTCATTCTGTCCTCAACACGGATCTGTCGTCCTGTCCCCTTAGCAGAAAAACAGCCCCGAAGCATGATGTTCCCACCCCCATGCTTCACAGTAGGTATGGTGTTCTTGGGATGCAACTCAGTATTCTTCTTCCTCCAAACACGACAAGTTGAGTTTATACCAAAAAGTTCTACTTTGGTTTCATCTGACCACATGACACTCTCCCAATCCTCTGCTGTATCATCCATGTGCTCTCTGGCAAACTTCAGATGGGCCTGGACATGCACTGGCTTCAGCAGCGGAACACGTCTGGCACTGCAGGATTTGATTCCCTGCAGTTGTAGTGTGTTACTGATGGTGACCTTTGTTACTGTGGTACCAGCTCTCTGCAGGTCATTCACCAGGTCCCCCCGTGTGGTTCTGGGATTCTTGCTCACCATTCTCATGATCATTTTGACCCCACGGGATGAGATCTTGCGTGGAGCCCCAGATCGAGGGAGATTATCAGTGGTCTTGTATGTCTTCCATTTTCTGATAATTGCTCCCACAGTTGATTTTTTCACACCAAGCTGCTTGCCTATTGTAGATTCACTCTTCCCAGTCTGGTGCAGGTATACAATTCTTTTCCTGGTGTCCTTCGAAAGCTCTTTGGTCTTGGCCATAGTGGAGTTTGGAGTCTGACTGTTTGAGGCTGTGGACAGGTGTCTTTTATACAGATAATGAGTTCAAACAGGTGCCATTAATACAGGTAACGAGTGGAGGACAGAAAAGCTTCTTAAAGAAGACGTTACAGGTCTGTGAGAGCCAGACATTTTCCTTGTTTGAAGTGACCAAATACTTATTTTACACCCTGATTTACAAATAAATTCTTTAAAAATCCTGCCATGTGAATTCATGGATTTTTTTTCACATTCTGTCTCTCACAGTTGAAGTGTACCTATGATGTAATTTACTGACCTCTGTCATCATTTTAAGTGGGAGAACTTGCACAATCGGTGGCTGACTAAATACTTTTTTGCCCCAATGTATCTCCTGCTAAATTGAAGAAAAATCTTATAATTATCCGATTAGTCGACTAATCATTACAATAGTCGGTGACTAGTCGACTATTAAAATCGTCGTTAGTTGCAGCCCTAGTATATTTACAGTGCGTATATCATCATCATTAGATTGTGTAATTAAAATAATTAGAAATGTTACCTCATTCAGTGAGTCCAGCATTCGTCTTATTTTGGTCCCTGCAGTCCCGCCCTTCTTCTGAAACATCGCCAGGAGTTTTGGGGTAAACCTGTCCAAACTGGACAAAAAGGTTTGCTCCAGACACCATGGTCAGTCTTTTAAACTCTTCTTTGATAGGAAATGAGAAATAAAAACGCAAAATCATGTTTACGATGACTCATGAGATCTCACATTGCATGAACAATAACTGGATTTACCTGATTTCCACTGAACAGAGAAGGCCATCTCTCCATGAGGTCTTGGATTGCAGAACAATCCTTGACAACCTTGGTTCTTCTCACAGCAAAAGACTTGTCCATTTTCTCATTAATCACCCTCACATTGTTGTTCTTTATTTCATTCAGCAAATCTAGTCTCTCCTTCTCTAAGGTTTCCTCTGTCTCACCAAATGACAGTGGTGGAAGATAGTTGACTTCTGCTTTTTTTGGCCTTTTAAAGCCATTAAGGGAACCCTCTTCATTGCATCGTCTCCAGTGTGTTCACCTCAAGCTCAGGAATGGGTATTTGGCTACCTCTTAACTTTGCCCTGTAGTTGCCCATTTTATACTTTATCCTCTGTTGCCAACCATATACAGTAGGCCATTAAAAGAGCCTGGCTTTTTGAGGCATGGGTATTTTTCTAACAATGCTTCAGCAACGGCTAAAATCTGGATACCTGTTGGATATGCTGTGAAGCCAAAAATTGCCTCTGCAAGCTTCTCAAGAATGCTACTAGTGACTTTTGGGTGGTTCAAAAGTGTGCCATCGTTTTCATAAGCTTGCTTTCCTGCTTCTAGTGCAAGTTTTACATCATAAGAAAAGACTGGTATTTCAAACTTCAATGGCCATGGCTTTGACCTGTAGGATGGTTCACTCTCACCTGGGGAGGAAAGAATGATTGTGTTGGTTCCAGATGATAAGGAGTTTGTTTCCATAGATAGTGGGGATGGAGATTCCACATCTGACATGTCCACAGGAGTGAAACTCAAGATCACTCGTTCATTTTTGACTATTTTGAGGTTGGCTTTATCTTGTACTTCCTCAATTGAGGTCAAAGCAAAGAATTGGCCATCAAAATCCATGTCCTGGTACATAACAGTGAATGGTCCAGCAATATCAAATGTCTCTCGAAGAACATCAGTTAGATGCTGAAGTGTGTTTGGGATGCCTGCAGGTAAAAGTAGTTTGCAGACATCATCCTTCCCAAAAATGATCCGCAGTTTTGCTGAGGGTGCTGTGACGGAAGCAGGTGTAACTAAGGGATCTAATCGGGGTGCCAGCCAGGTCTCTCTCCTTACATATAAGAAATAAATACAATTATCAACAAATTTCCCTTGTAACACTCACCGACTTCACAACACAAAGGATGTAAACAATTAGCAGTGTTTATCACCCTAACCTGGACTGAAACAAACAAACAAACAAACCCAAATAATCACATAAGCATAAGGCAAAAGCGGGTTAAATCAGATCTTTTTCCACCACATATACAGTGGGGCAAAAAAGTATTTAGTCAGCCACCGATTGTGCAAGTTCTCCCACTTAAAATGATGACAGAGGTCAGTAATTTACATCATAGGTACACTTCAACTGTGAGAGACAGAATGTGAAAAAAAAATCAATGAATTCACATGGCAGGGTTTTTAAAGAATTTATTTGTAAATCAGGGTGGAAAATAAGTATTTGGTCAATAACAAAAATTCAACTCAATACTTTGTAACATAACCTTTGTTGGCAATAACAGAGGTCAAACGATTACTATAGGTCTTTACCAGGTTTGCACACACAGTAGCTGGTATTTTGGCCCATTCCTCCATGCAGATCTTCTCGAGAGCAGTGATGTTTTGGGGCTGTCGCCGAGCAACACAGACTTTCAACTCCCTCCACAGATTTTCTATGGGGTTGAGGTCTGGAGACTGGCTAGGCCAGTCCAGAACTTTCAAATGCTTCTTACGGAGCCACTCCTTTGTTGCCCGGGCGGTGTGTTTGGGATCATTGTCGTGTTGGAAGACCCAGCCACGCTTCATCTTCAAAGCTCTCACTGATGGAAGGAGGTTTTGGCTCAGAATCTAACGATACATGGCCCCATTCATTCTGTCCTTAACACGGATCAGTCGTCCTGTCCCCTTAGCAGAAAAACAGCCCCAAAGCATGATGTTCCCACCCCCATGCTTCACAGTAGGTATGGTGTTCTTGGGATGCAACTCAGTATTCTTCTTCCTCCAAACACGACAAGTTGAGTTTATACCAAAAAGTTCTACTTTGGTGTCATCTGACCACATGACATTCTCCCAATCCTCTGCTGTATCATCCATGTGCTGCTGTATCATCCATGTGCTCTCTGGCAAACTTCAGACGGGCCTGGACATGCACTGGCTTCAGCAGCGGAACACGTCTGGTACTGCAGGATTTGATTCCCTGCCGTTGTAGTGTGTTACTGATGGTGACCTTTGTTACTGTGGTCCCAGCTCTCTGCAGGTCATTCACCAGGTCCCCCTGTGTGGTTCTGGGACTCTTGCTCACCGTTCTCATGATCATTTTGACCCCACAGGATGAGATCTTGCGTGGAGCCCCAGATCGAGGGAGATTATCAGTGGTCTTGTATGTCTTCCATTTTCTGATAATTGCTCCCATAGTTAATTTTTTCACACCAGATTCCCTCTTCCCAGTCTGGTGCAGGTATACAATTCTTTTCCTGGTGTCCTTCGAAAGCTCTTTGGTCTTGGCCATAGTGGAGTTTGGAGTCTGACTGTTTGAGGCTGTGGACAGGTGTCTTTTATACAGATAATGAGTTCAAACAGGTGCCATTGATACAGGTAACGAGTGGAGTACAGAAAAGCTTCTTAAAGAAGACGTTACAGGTCTGTGAGAGCCAGAGATTTCCGTTGTTTGAAGTGACCAAATACTTATTTTCCACCCTGATTTACAAATAAATTCTTTAAAAATCCTGCCATGTGAATTAATGGATTTTTTTTCATATTCTGTCCCTTACAGTTGAAGTGTACCTATGATGTAAATTACTGACCTCTGTCATCATTTTAAGTGGGAGAACTTGCACAATCGGTGGCTGACTAAATACTTTTTTGCCCCACTGTATTACAATTAATGGAAAGGTCTGAGAGTCACGTTCGGTTTTGTTCAGATAAATTCAGTTCAGTTCAGATAAATTCAGTTCAGTTCAGATAAATTCAGTTCCATTCAGATAAATTCAGTTCCATTCAGATAAATTCAGTTCCGTTCAGATAAATTCAGTTCCATTCAGATAAATTCAGTTCCGTTCAGTTAAAAAAAAGACCAAAAGAAAAATGTGCGTCCATAATCCACTCGGCAAAAAAAAAAAAAAACCAACAACTAGGATTATCGTTTTAGGTTCAGTATACAACAGCTGCAGCAAACGCTGCGTCGATCAGCTGTTTACTCACGGTACCGCTGAGGACCCGCTGAGGCTGCTGCTTCGGTGGTTCACCAGAACACACGCTCCCAGCTTCCTCTTTCAGCCTGTCAGAGAAGTCACATAAGTCCGCTTATGTGACATAAGGTGTCTTTTAGTAGTCGAAAATTGTGACATCCTGTTCAAGTGTAAAAGGAAAACAGAAATATAATGAGAAGAAGCTGTGACTCTTTTTACATGGTACTATACTGTATGGTGTCATATTCAAACACCAGAAACTTATACTTCATATTTTATCAGTGGTGGGCGGTGCATTCCACCCCTGGGCCTTCAGTGATTTCCTATTCAGTCCAATCTAAATCAACACACCTTAAAATACCATCAGTAGGACATCACAGCTGGAGAAACCTCTCTCTCTCTCTCTCTCACACACACACACACACACACACACACACACACACACACACACACACACACACACACACACACACACACACACACACACACACACACACACACACCAGTGGCTGGGCAAGACGTCATTTCCGGAGCCTTTAAAATCAAACTCGCATTCCCAGTTGAGAGTAGGAAACTAAGACCACGGATACTGTCAAATCTCAAAAATGAAAGATGGGTTTAAGAGATGAGACAATAAAATTAATAAGTAAAGCAAACACATTATTTGCATTTGTTTTGGAGAAAATTGCACCGCGAAACAATTGAACATGTTGGCGCAGCTGCACACACCACGTTATACACAATATAAATTGCATAGAAACAGAACACATAGAATTATTTCATTTAGCCATTTTATTTCGTTACCATTTATTATTAACAAAATGAAATCACAAAACATTAAAAATACTTTCCACTCACCAACATAAATGTCCAGCATGGGTCTCCTCCTCTCCTGCTCATTTGAAAATAAAATCCATCCTTCTTTCTTTCCTCGGGAAAACCTCAATGGCTCTGTACAGTTTATCTGTGCACTTCAGGTCCATGAGTGGATCCTTTCCTATGGACATGGAGGCTAATGCTGAAAGACGTGTCTTTCCGGTCGTGTTTCTGGCGTACGTTTTAACGCGCTTTAATGCTATCAAATCCATCTGATGCGAGCAACAGGCATTCCCAGCAGAATAACCTGCAGCGGTTCTCTGAAGCTGTTAGCCATGGGTACCGTTCATAGTTGCTTGCCTGAAAATGACGAACAAATCCTTTCCCCTGCTGGGACAAGCCAGCTATCATTGGAGTCGGACGACCTGTTCTCACAAGATCCATTTTTTCTTGAAAGGTCCGTCTGGAAAATGGTGTGGCAAGTAAATCTGCAACCAAGTCGGTCCCTTCTCCTCTTTCAGCCATCATGTGTTCAAAAACACACCGATAGCTGCCTATAGATACAAATCTCCGTGTTTAGTTTTGATATTTTGCTTCATGCCGCTAGAAAAGTTCTAACTACTGCTTATCCAATCACAGGATGCGTTCATGTCAACTTTTGCGTGAGGCCAGCTAGCTGGCCTGGGCCACGCTGACTCGTGAGCTGATTGGCTATCGCAACTAGATCGTCTCTGTTCACTTACAGCGGACAGCGGGCTTCGCGATTGATTCTGAAGGCCTAGAGCAGACTATTATCTGCCTGAAAACACAAGCTAGCTTAAATCTGATTGGATAACACCCAGCCTTGGTATTTTAACACTGGAAGCAGCACAGCCAAGTGGGTATAATAGGATATAAAGAAAATAGACCAGTGAACATTTTTTTTAATTTAAAAATATTTACCAAAGGAAAAAAAATACATTTACGTTTTTGAGTACGTTTAGGCTAGCAGAGAAGGCTTTGCTGGCCCTGACTGCCCACCACTGTATTTTATAAATGCATGACTAATAACGACATCTGCTAGTAAAACTGGGGTAACTGCTGATGGCATCATTTTTACACTATAGTTTACAAAGGAAAAGTAAATGAAAGTAGTTAATATTAAATTTAAATTAAATAAGCAAAAACTTGTCTCTAAATCAATGGTATAGACAGAAGAAATACATAGATATGTAACATTATGTTTCTGACAATAACATGAATAAAATGGAGCTGTGGAGAGCAGCTCAGAGCACATCTGTGGGTCAATTGCCAGCAGCAGAATCAGAACGCAGCAGGTGAAATGTTCCTACTTCAAGTTTAACTGTTTAATTGTGACATTTGCTGGACATGCTGGTCAGCTTGTTTACACTAAATATTAATGAAAAAATAATGACAATTAAAATTTAAATTTTTATAAATTAAGACCCATCCAAAAATTAAAACCTGGCACAGCATCTGTTAGTGGAGTAATGTTGTTGGACAGCTACTTTTTACTTTTACTTGATTATAACTATGTTGAGATAGTGCTAAGCTTACTCAAGTGATATATTTTCTGCAGTAATGCAATGGCTGCGCTTCATTTGTTTCCTTTGAGGTTGTAGGGCTCTACATTGTTGATTGTAGACAATTTCTGAAAACACTGATCCCTATTCTCTTTCACAAGTTTATTCCTGTAAGTAATACATTTATCCTTGTTCTTTTTGTCCATCCTTTTTACTCTTGTGCTCAAGGGCGTCAGTTTGTTGTCAGAATTGCTGGGGACAATAACCATACACTTGAGTGGGGTTTAAAAACTGCTGGGGACAATATAGTCTAGCACAGGGGTCGGCGGCTCTGTAGCCGCATGCGGCTCTTCCATCCATCTGATGCGGCTCTCTGTGCTTGTAAAATAATGAATGGATATTTAAATAAAATGCTTTATATTTTACTGCATTAATTTTACATCTGTATGCTAATTCTAAATGTAAAGATTGTCTGCGTAAACCTGAACAGGTCCAACCCGGTCTTACTGTGAGACCGGGTTGACGCGTCACGCTTGTGCGTAATCATATGCGCTTTCTGAGCTGGAGGATGTCAGATTCTGGGATTCTCCTCAGACAGGCTCCTGGATGCGTCGCCACATTGGAGACAGGAACAAGCACTATTCAGCCAAAGTTTTATAATCAGGGAACATTTTCTAAGTGACAAGTCTCTGAGAGACCGGGTTTGGAAAACACTCGCTTCAGTGGGAGGAACCTTCTCACATGCGCTCTGGTTCTGAGAGCCTGGATTTGTATTCTGAACAGTCTAAACATGTTTTTAAAAGAAACGTATGACAAAAGTGGTACCTGCTCAGTAAAACCACCAACAAGGTGAAAAATATCAAAATATTGTCGGCAGAGACGGGCTACAACTTCTGGATCATCTTTATATAAATCATTTTATTGATTATTTTCTTATGAAAGATAACTTTGACGTACACGAGCGACCAGGCGCGTTGCAAGATTTTCAAAAGTGTGGGAGATGTTGTCTGTGCCTAAAATAATTTCATGTTATTCACCTTGTTAGTTTAATTTCCATAATAGCGGAGCAGGTGCGAATTTTAGACGCGTCATGCATGTCTCCATTTTAAACATGTTTAAACTGTTCAGAATACAAATCCAGGCTCTGTCTAGTTAGATTGGTGTTACTAAAGTTTGTACTGAATGAAACTTTACATTAAACCATGTTTAAAAGAAAAGGATCCGATTAAATCATTTCCCCTCATTTACAGTCACGACGTACAGCGCAGTGCGCATGGCTCTGGGGTTAATCAAGTTTAGTTGTTTCTCTTTGCAACAATCTTCACAAGAAGGCAAAACAGTTAAATGGCAGGTTACAGATATTTCCATTTGACTGTATTTTGATGGATAAACTCAAGGATGCTGGCTGTTTTGAAATAATTATCCCGACACACACTGATGCGCATGGATGAGCTTAGAAAAATGTTCTTTTTATGAAATTATTACACTTTGGCTGAACAGCGCTTTTTCCCGTCTCTAATATGGAGACGCATGACGCATCCAGTCTGAGGCAGAATAGCAGCTCAGAAAGCACCTGTAGAGACATTTGATCACGCACAAAGTTTATGTGGAGCAGAAGCGGTCGGGCCACGGCAGGTGAAATGTTCCTAGCCTACATGAAGTGAAACTGTTTAATTGTAACATTAATATGTTACTGGACACGCTGGTCTGGTTGGTTAGACCAGTGTTTGAAGTGGAAAACA